ACGATGGTGCGTCAATAATGAAGTTTGTAAAGTCTGCATAATGACGAGAAAAGCCCAACATAGCAGACTAATAGTGTTAGCCGGAAATCCATACTTTGTAGCACGCGTATTTGCGTGTTACTTGAAACAATAAGGCGTGCGTTTGGACAAGGCAAAGAGAGTGATGGGGATTGCACGCCATTCATCACAGAAGCCAACTGGGGTGGTGAGACCGTGTCAACATTGGCCACTGAAGCTGGTCTTCTTCGAGGCGAATGCCAAGCACGTGTAGAATATGCGTCCGGGTTTAAGTTTGCGGGCCATTCGATAGCTTCGGGAGTGGCACAACTGATACCGTTCACTCCGCCGGAGAGCGGACGCAGAATGCAGTTGTTCGCAAGATGGTCTGTTGTTTGGTGAGGCCAGCGTCGGTGACTGAAGCCACGAGTATTGTTGCACGGATTCGACAATGCATATCTGTGCACAAATCGTACAACCATTAACATGGACGCGTGATACTGCTGCAGATTGATCGGCTCGTATTCTTTAAAGGAAATTAACGGTGATTGCTTCTCTGTGACCTGAATGTGGAATTTCCGTCGCTTGGTCAGAACCACCGATAGAGATGAGTACTTGTCAATATGCCTTTGAGTTTGGGAACACAATGTGACTTTCACGAAAAGTTTTACACAATGAAGAATCAATGAATGCTAGTGATGAGAACTGTTTTTACAACAGCAAGCTGGAATTGTTTCATTCTGCTGGAAGTGTGGATCTTTAAACGGACTACAACGTTAATGGAACTGCATTTCACGAGTGAACTTAAACCCCATTCCGGCTCCTTCCTCCACCACCAACTAGCTTTTAAGCTCGTCAAGTTTACGAATGACAGGAGAGATTAGATATTTTACACCCCCCCCCCACCACCCCCACAGGATTGGAGTGGTGATACATTTTTTTTCCGTCAGTTATTTCTAGCCGAGGACAAAAGCTATTGGTCATAATTAATTCAATATCATTACCGCATATTCCTCATTCTTTCAGATCAGAAATGAGTCCCTCTCCGAACTCTGCACAACATAAATTACCCGAGTAGGTTCTGTGACTGACTCGTTGACCCACAGATGGGCGAGTTAAGTATCTTATCACGCGGATGCTTGAATAAAATGCTGACTTAAGTATAAAATTACGATCGCAATTACGGCGTTTGCTCACTGTCGCCGAGAAAATAAATGTCTCGTCCTGCTGGCCGAACTGCCTTCGGGAAGCTCTAGTTGTTTCGGGCAGCTACCCTTCGTGAGGAAGCTTCCGCAATATTACGTAAAAATAATTTTCTCTCAGCGATGGCCATAAACCTTGTTAAGATTTTTTTTTTACGAAATCGTTATTCATTGCGCGTGTTCGGCGAAGCAGCAACTCTCGTGCGCACGCGTTCATAGTTCCGAAGGGAAAAAAAAAAAACCAGTCGATTGTGCGATATGAAGAGCAACGGTGAAGCGAGTTGGACCGTCATTATCATCAGCTTAGTGCCATCTTGGCTCCGCTCTCTCCCCTCCCCATGCGGCTTTCCATTCCCCAGAGCAAAATCTCCCACCCACTCTGTGGATCATTGAAATTCACTGAGAACCCATGGTGAGCGTCCAAGATAATAATAATAATCATCAGCCATGGTCAATCCGCTGCTGGATGAACGTCACCAAAAAACTGCCTCCAACCCCCACCCCCCTCCCCCGCCGCAATCCTGCGCCTTAAACACGAACGGGTTTCCTTCGCTCCATCTCCACGGTGCACGTGATCCTCCACCCATTTTCCATCCGAGTGGACGGAGCAGAGATGATATGAGTCATTTTAAACTATTTTTTTTCATGTGCATCGTCGCTTTGCATAAACACCCACGGAAAGCCCTTGTACGAGTCACAATACGAGCTTTTTCGAAGGCATGGCGTGAATAGGAACACGTTAGATCATTACTAATCACGATAGTTTTTTTTTTATTGCAGGATGATTAATAGAAAGTAGTTTATATGCAGAAGTAGAAGGTAGTACATGCACTGACAGTTTCATTAGTGCCTCGCTCGGTTATTCATAGCATCATAGTCCATGGGATGTCTGCGACAACAATTTTCCAATGCAAATTGTATTGCTAATAAATGAGCGTAATGATGCGCTGTTACGGTACAATACTGCACCCTCTCCAAAGCGCCACTGCATCTGCAATGTGCCCGGTTTACGAATAGAGATTGTAATGATGTCCCATTTCCCAATGGAAATGTCTGATTGGAAATGGGCATTGCGTAATAAGTGCGCGTGTTCTGCGAGTCTGTGCGCGCGTGCACGCCTGTCCGTTACGGGTCTCTTAGACACATTGGCCCAGCGGAATGCATCACGAAGGCAGAGTTTTGTCGGCTTCTTCTTCTGCAGAACGCATGCCATAAAAGAACTGTCCGCATGACTCACAAAGGTTTTGTTAAAGAGCGCTCAAGCCATCATAATAGGAATATTCCAAAAACCTCTGAATTCTTTTGGCAAATGACAATGAAAGCGATGTCCATCCATTACGCTTCTTTTTAACAATACAGCGATGGGACAAAGACACGAAAGATTTTTTTTTGGCAGGACATTCAGTCTCCTAATCAATATATGCATGCACCTATATGAGAATATGCAAACAGACACACAAAGACAAAGATCACCGCATAGCCTTAACAGACTGTTGGGGCAAGTGCTGTTAACTCGCGCCTTTGAAGGCCGGCACGGCACACGAGGGGGTGGGTGGCCAGCACCACGCCCGACCGCCTTTGTCTCCCTAGTGGCGATATTTACACACCGCACCAGGTACTCATTTTGAGGCCGAGTCGATCTAGGAGAGGCCAAGGACTGATTCAGATAGTCGTCACTGGTGTTGGTCGTGAGCGCGAATTGAACTCGGTTCCGCCGGGTTCGTAGCGCAGCGCGGCTAACCACTACGCTGCCGCTCTCCCACACGAGACGCTGTGATGTCGCACGCACACAATGATCCCCACCTCCCCATAACACGTAACACACACGCACACACACACTATCTCACGCACACACAATTTTAAACCGAATTCGTGTGTTTGCAGCCCCGAAAATACACAGTTAAGTGCATTGCGGCCAAACCCATTTAATGTACAGTACAATTCACATATATATCACTTATCCCACCTCCCTGGACCCTGCATCACAGATGATTCGCAAAGCTGAGCAATGCATACGCAAGGCTTGCGACAGCAAATTTAAACACCACGTCCACCACGAGCAAGCAGAAATAACGGCAACAGCTAGCAACAATCCTGCCACCCTCTATTCAGCAGATATATTTTTCTAGTGTTGGCTTCATATATAATGTATGCACAGCGGTGTGTGTGTGTGTGTTGTGTAGGTGTGGGTATTTATATGTGTCTGCATGTGTGCGTCGTCGGTGTGTTTGTGTGGTGCTTGTCTCGTCGCAGGCAGCGCGTTGCGCTCCGAGCCCGGCGACCCGAGTTCGATTCCCGCTCACGACCAACGCCGGTGACGATTATCTGAACCGGTCCTATGCCTCCCCCTAGGTCGACTCAGCCTCAAATGAGAACCAGGTGCGGTTCGTGAAATCGTCGACACTGACTGGGGAGACAAAGGCAGTGAGGCGTGGTGCTGACCACCCACCCCATCGTGTACCCTGTCGGCCTTCATAGGTGTTCGCTAACAGCACTTGCCCCAAAAGTATGTTAAGGCTATACGGGGGATTTTTATCTTTGTTTATCTGTGTGTGTGACCATATGTCTGGGTGTTTTTTTTATGTCCGCCTGTGTTGGTCTGTGTGTATGTATGTATGTGCGTTTATGCATATGTATCTGCATGCAAGTGTTTTCTGTACAACAGCATGCGGCTGTGTATTTGTACCTGTCACTTTCTATACCTGTGTGTGTTTCTGTTTGTATGTCTGTATGTATGGGTCTGTATTCCTGTGGCCTTCATATGTGGTGGTCGCTAACAGCACTTGCCCCAAAAGTATGTTAAGTCTATACGGGGGATCTTTGTCTTTGTATCCCTGCACTTGTTCGTGTACGTAAGCTTTTTTTAACGTGTGTCTGCATACATATGTCTGTGTTGTTCTGTTTATATGGTCTGTGTGTGTGTTTCACGTGTGCATGTGTGTCTACGTGACTATCTCTATAGCTGCGTGTGCATTCCTATATGTGTTTCAATTTGTGCATGAGTGTTTTTGTATATTTGTCCATGTGTTTCTGTCTTTCAATCTGTATGTTTCTGCAATGTCTGTCTTGAGGTGTAGGCGTTTGTGTCTATCTGTACATATGTCTTCCGTATATATGTTTGTCTCTCACTGACAAAATGCACGTGTTTGATGTGTCTCTATGTTACTGCATGTATGTCTTTGTACATGTGCTTATATTTCGTGTATATATCCACGTGCTTTTTTCTGCAGTGTCTAGTTGTCTGTGTGTATATTTCTATTTGTCTGTGAGTATGTGTTTGCATGGCCTGTATGTGGGGAGCGGTGGCGCAGTGGTTAGCGCACTGTGCTACGAAACCGGTGAACCAAGTTCCATTCCAACTCATGACCAATAACAGTGGTGAAAATCTGAACCAGTCCTGGGCCTCCCCTAGGTCGACTCAGCCTCAAATAAGTACCTTGTGCGATGTGTAAACATCGTGACTCGGGAGACGGAGGTTAGCCGGGCGTGGTGCTGGCAACCCACCCCTTCGTGTGCCCTCCCGGCCTTCAAAGGTGCTCGCTAACAGCACTTGCCCCAACAGTCCGAGTCAGACTGTACGGGGGAGCTTTGTCTTTGCAATGCCATGCATGTGTGTCTGCGCGTGCATTTCTGGACGTCCAGCCGACGTCTCCGTGCGCGTGTGCGTCCGTGTCCACACGTGTGTCCGTTTACTCGCGTCAATGACATGCAAACAGAACGAAGCGAGAACGCCAGCTCCGTCGCAGTGATGCACAGCCGAGGCTTTCAATTTGAGAGAGAATGAAACGAGATGACCCTTACCTGCCGTTGGGCCACGCACGTCTTGAGAACCACTGAGGAAGGCCGCTGCTTGACAGAGGTGTGTTCTTTCCACTGCTGGGAGTCTCAGTGCCCTGCGTTCAATGAGGAGACATGCAGAAAAGGGGGGGGGGGTGTATGAGCAAATTGTTAAAGCTGTTGCCAGCTGTCACACACTCGTCCCTGCCGTCTTCAGCGCGCTAAGCTGGACACGTCAGGCATCGCTCGTCTTGGATCAACTTCTCTGCGACCGGGACGAGACGCTGTCCCGTCACTAATAAACCATCTCAAATAGCCGAGCAAAAAATATAAATACATAACCGCAGAAAACTGTTACACGGCAACTAAATTCATTTGGCAGCAAGGCTCAACAGCACGCACGGCATTGAGACAAGTATAGCTACACCGCTAACTATCCACACACATGCGCCCTATGCATACGCTGTATGTGTGTGTGTGTCCATGTGCCGTATATGTGTCTGTCTTTTATCAAGAGCTTGGTACTACTGCCGTGGTGTTCCTCTGCTCTCCATCTATCTCTCTCTTCTCTCTCTCGCTCTCTGTGGCAAACTAGACTGCTGAGTTATTCTCCCTTCCCAGGCAGCTGCCAGGATACCGGGAGGGTGGAGACCATCGGGTGCCGTACTTGTGGACGAGGAGCGAACCGCTGCGGAGCGCCGAACCCGGGGTTTTGGAGCTCTCCCAACCCAGAGGCGAAATCCGTACGCGTGTGAGAGAGCGAGCGAGCAGGCGTGCGTGTGGGAGAGAGAGAGAGAGAGCGCGCGTGTGTGTGTGTGGGAGTGGAGCTGTCATTGGCTGATCCTGCGGAGAGAGAGGGGGGGCCGGCCTGTCACAGTGCTCAGCTCCGAGCAGCACATGTGCCCAGATGGTGGTGGAGAGTGTGGCGATCTTCTGTTACAATTATAAGCTGTGTGTGTGTGTGTTGGTAGGTAGATATGTATGTTTAACACGGAGGTTTCCACGACCAATATCATCCATAATACAGGTTTTTTTTGGGGGGGTTAGATCGCGAAAATGTATAATTGTGTCGTTAAACCCACCACCACCCGACACCGCCAATTAGTGAGGTTTGTCAGAAAATAAAAATAAGCCACAACATTTGTGGCTTTGCTCTCCAACACACCGGTGTGCTGTACTAGTAACGAATTGGCCACGTTCTTATTCTTAGCTCTTTCGGTAAAGTCACGTTGAAGGGAAACAATGAAATAATAAAATATATATGAAACAATAATATGTATTATTTATTGTTTCCTCTTCAACGTGACTTTACCGAAAGAGCTAAGAATATGAATTACTGCAGTCGCGAAAGCTTTAAATCCAAATTTGACCACGTTCTGTTTACGTGACAAACCTCACTAATTGGCTGTGTCGGGTGGCGGCGGGTTTAACGACACATTTATATATTTACGCGATCTCACCCAAACAAAATCTCTATTATGGTAGATATGTATGGTTGCATGAGCTTATGTAATAGTATGAATTAACCTTTGCAACGTCTTTTGATAACCCCCACACTCTGCCAATCAATCATAGTGGCCGTTTGACCATACTTCACCACGTTGGTCAGTGGAAATTAGGGAAATGGGGTTGAGAGGGGGGGGAGGTCATTAACCGGTTCAGATATCACTCACCACCGTTATTACCCGTAACCAGTTCACTGGGCGGTGCGCAAACCACATATCTTTGAGCGTCTGCACGAGTGGCTGGTTGCACGCGTGTATCAGTGCACGTGAGAGCAACACGTGTACAACTATTTCATCAATCTGCTGCTGGACGAGGGCCTCCCGAAGCCTTGTGCGTCATGGGGGGTTATGGGACCACTACTTCATCGCGCTGGTCAGCGAGGGTTGGTGAAAGTTTTTGGAACGTAGATACGTGAGCATGGAAGTACAGCACAACAGTGGAGTTTGTTAAGGTGGTCTCTGCTGGTAACACAGTCCCGCAGCAGCCGACAACACAGTTGTATGCATGATGGTCGCCTATCCAAGCCCTGTCCAGTTTAAAACTTGCTCAGCTTTTACAATATCATGAGATCGGATCGATTCCGAATAAATTGGTCGTAAGTTTAATGCTTGTTTACGTGTGAATCTAGGTCTAGTTATGAGAATGTTTATGTCTGAGTGTACAGATGAATGGTAGGTGTTTTGTTAATGAGAGTATGTATTATATATAGGTGATTGTAATATGTTAACATAATGTTAGTGAGCGGCTGTGTAGCGGTTAGCGCGCTGCGACAAATTCAGCGACAGAGTTCGATTCCTGCTCACGGCCAACATCAGTAACAATTATCTGAACATGTCCTGAGCTTATCCAGTTCAAAGGTATACCTGCTGTGGTGTGTAAACATCGCTACGTTCATAGCTTGCTCGCTCACAGTACTTCCCCCAAAAGTCTTTGAAGCTATAATGGGGTTATTTGTCTTTGATGTCTATATACATATATGCGTGTATATGAGTATGTATGATAGTATCTGTCAATACAGATTGTTAATATCATTAAAATATGACTATTAGTGGCTGGGACCATAGCTGCACGTAAATTATGTAAATAACAAAATAACTTTAATAATGTTAATGGAATGCGTACAAAACACCGATTGTTATAAATGTAATCATTTATGTCTCTATCGTCTTAAGACAAACCTCACATGCCCCCTCTTCCCCCGTTTAAAATCCAGTTCCAGAATACTTCGCAGGTTAATTTAATTATGACTACTCCAAATATATATTTCTAAATACTTACGTACAGTATAATATATGTTCACGAAACCCCCCCCCCTACCCCGCCGCCGCCGCCCACCAACACGCCCGCATTCGTTCTCCCTAAAACAGACACCAGGCAAAGGAGGGGAAACCACTGTCCGCTTTATCCACAGATCAAAGGGGTTCCGAGTGGCCCCCACGTACAAACGCGCAACGGGTGCGCGGTGTCTGATTGGCTATTTTCGGGCGGCCGTAATACAAAAAAAAAAGATGGTGCAAGCCGGTCCCTGAAAAAAAATAAAAACACAATTTAAATTCCGCGTGCGTCTTACACGCGCGCCGTTCCCCGATGCCCCTTGCAGTTCCGATTTGTCCGCATTGGGTGGAGCTGTGTTCTGCCTTGTACGCCTGCGTCCAGCTGCTATGAATATTGCTGGGGGGGGTGGGGGGGGCTATGATTACATTGAAAGGCTTGTTGAGGCAGCTTCCCGTGAGACTGGCATTCGCCGCTGTTGTAATTTTAATTTCTGCAAAGTGTCGCGTGAACAATTGAAACGAGGCGTTTCTCTCCCCCCCGCCCCCCCGCCGCCACTCGCCCACCTTACGCCAGAAGGCCCTTCCTTTCGCACTCTCAGATCAGCGGGGAAGCTGAACGTCTTTCGTGGTTTTCCAAGAGGGGTGTTCGAAATCAGGAGGGGCGAAGGCTTTCAGGGTTGCTATGGACCCTGCCTGTGGGACTCGGGATCTCGTCGTATCAGGAATGCCGACAGAAGTTGCTTCTTTCAGAGTCACATTTTTAAACGAGTACGTTTGCATGAGTGCATTGTTTCACTGCATTCATTGGTCAGTGGTTATTAGATTTTTCATTGTAAATTGCCCTTGGATCTTCTGTATTAAGAGCACTATTTAAAAGCTAAATGTGATGTATTATATATACAGTATATACAAAATACAAAAGTTAAATCAGATGTTTTTTGGGCACAATTAAAATATTTAGGTTACTTCTTTGCAAGGTTTGTTACCTAATAATTATCAACAACCCAAAGACAAATCACCCAAGAGCCAAATACTCTTAACCAAATGTGAACTATAACAACTGTAAACTATAAAACTATTAAAACAACTATAAAATCTATAAAAACTAAAATAGTACATGCAGGGCCATCTTGGGAAATGAGTCTCAAGGCCAAGAAAGGCATTTCCTGGGAAAGCAAACCCACCAATAATAATAAAAATGAATTAAACCCCAACGTACGCTCATGTTCAATGTCCTTCCTTATATTCAATTCATATGCCCTCTATTTTCTACCTTTTATAACTTTGATAATGGTCCACTCACTGAACATTTTGTATATTTTATACAAGCCTATACATAATTATAAAGCAAAACACCGCACCATAGGAATGTGGAATTTCCACCGATGACTGAGAGCTTCCAACATATTTTTTCATTGGAGCAGGGAGAGACCCCACGACGTTGGCTCCACCGCACAGCCGACTAAGCTTGGACAAATTTGAAAGCAACATCTGTACGCGTAATTAGCGCTTGCCTGCTGTGTGGAAGTCTTATATTAATTATATGAATCCGACGAGGGTTAAACAAAATAAAATGAAACACTTCCCTCCAACAGTAATTATGCAGGAGTTATGTGCAGTGTGGAATTAGTGCGCGGATTGCCCAAAGGGACCGTGCATCGTACCGTAAATATCTGAGCAAAGCGGTAAGTTGGATCTATCAGCATTTTAACCCTCATGAGCAAGGAGTAACGCTTTCCCGGCTAAAAGTAATTATTCATCGGCAGCGTTTGTGTCTACAGTTTTTTTTTTGGCACAGGTAATCCCATCCGAGGTTTGTTAGCCTTACTCTAACGGTCAACACATTGGGACTTGGAGTTCAAAAGTCACCCGATCCATCTCCCTGAGTGGCAGGTTAAAACTACAGGGCAAGGTGTTTATTTATATGTTTTTTCCTTTAGCTCTGTCCACCCAGCAGTGTAAATGGTTCCACGGACAGCTAGTCGGCCGATCCCTTGTGTGTGGGGTTAAACGTGGGAACTCCCACCAATTGCGAGGCGTCGAGGCCAGCGCTTGCTTGCTTGTGCCTGTTGTCTTCACGGATGCGTAACGTTGTGCCCTCTAGTGGGGCACTATAGACTTCAGTGCAGAGGTGTGAGCAGGGGATTTGGAGGGATGGAACTGTCGTCACCATCACCTTTGAAACACATTGGAAGCGTTCACGGTCGCAACGTTACAACAGCAATGTCCTGAGTGTTACATCATCCCTTTTTATGGGTTTATCTCAGTTTTCAGTTTATTTATTTTGGTATAGCCCTGTGAGCCATTCGGCTCTTGAATCGGGTGCAAACACAACCAATAAAAAAAACACACGAACAGCCACTCCGGGTTTCCACTAACTTAAAAAAACCCCTTCAATAATGGATATGTGCAAACAATTCAGGACCCTCACGAAAGATTGTCGAGGCTCAGCGATGCTTTCCTGGATGCATAAATTGTCACATCATTATTATTACGTCCAATCTGAAAGCAGTGAATCAGAGCCAAGCAAATGTGATTGAAAACATGATCCACAAACCCATTGCATTACCAGCCCCTGCATCCAGAGACTCAATGAATAATCGCGATTAGTATCATAAATCAACATTCCCGTCAGTGGCGTCACTTCCAGTGGCTGTAGATGTGACGTTAACCCATTATGTGTACATATAAAGAACCGGGTTTCCCCGGTAGAGCCTTAACAGACTGTTGGGGCAAGTGCTGTTAGTGAGCAGCGCCTCTGAAGGCACCACTGTGGCTCACGAGGGGGTGAGGTGGCCAGCACCACGCCCAGCTGCCTTTATCTTCCGAGTGATGGTGTTTTAACATCGCGCCAGGTACTCATTTTAGGCTGAGTCGACTCAGGGGAGACCCGGAACAGGTTCAGATAATTGTCATTGGTGTTGGCCGTGAGCGGGGATCGAACTCGTCTTTGCTACCCACAGCACATATGACAAGAACACACGCATCGTAAAATGGAGTAAAAAATTACTAACAAACACCTTGTGAAAGACCCGACATAGAAGATCACTGGGTTTCATCTTCCACGAAGTTCATGGTCCACCCTAAATCGCATCAGCACAAACCATGGCAGATGTGCACACTTGATGCAGAATGGGGAAAAAAAAATCTCTCCACTGTGCAACTGTGGTCATCCAGAAGACCGTACAATATACAATTCTCGATCCACAAATACAAAGGATACATTACAGCGA